TGGGCAGGGACACCTTTCACTAGACCAGGGTGCTCCAAGCCCCATCCAACCTGGCCTTCAATACTTCCCAGGGAGGATGGGGCAGCCACAGCTTCTCTGGGAATTCCATTCCAGTCCCTCACCACCCTCACAGGGAAGAATTTCTTCCTAGTATGTAAGAATTCCTTCCAGTATCCAAGAATCCTAATACCTAAATCGATCATCCCATTTATCAAATGCAGATTTGGAAGCTGGCATTGCACTGCTCCAAGCTGGAGCAGGGATGTTGGTTCTTTCAGTGGTGCTCTGCAGCCCAAAAGTCTCCATCACCTACACCCAGATGTTTAAGGGAATCCTGGGAGCTGCTCTTGGAGCTCTCTGACATCAGTTCTGCTGCCTGGGTGCTGGTGGGTGGTTTGGGTGCTGTGTGAGAGGACTTTAATGCTTTAATAAAGCATTAGGACAAAGAACATCAGCTTTTCTCTTGCTGTGTTAAGGAGGACGTCGAATTTTGCCCGATGTTCCAACAGCATAGGTGGTTTCAGCTATTTGAGACATGGCCTTGCCTTATAAAAATGCATCTTACCTTGTTTGTGCATTGTGCAGCCTGTGGAAAATGTGACCAGCTTGGGTTTGAAAACGAAATCTAAAACTGGAAAAGTCCTACAGAAAGTAACTGAGGAGCCAAATATATATAAATGAATAGCTGAGAAGAGAACCAGGTCCCATGAAGCTGGTTGCCAAGGGAATAATTCACTCGTCCCTCCCCCAGCCTGCCAAAATAGTTATTGTTTTCCTCTCCTCCTTGCCAGCATACCCACGGCTCCAGAAGAGCCACCTCTCACTCCTGTAGATGCTCCAACTGATACATCCCTAATACCACCTCGGGGCCATTTTCATGAGCAGAGCATAGCTTTGAAGGCACCTTCCCCCTTTCCAGGCCTCCAGAAGAGTTGGTGTGGATGAGAGGTTTGTCCCCTCTTCACATTGATGCTGTCTGGCCTGACAGGTGCCCTGCTCCTGCCCACAAACCTTCCCTTCCCCAAGAAAAGAGAAAATAAGGTCGTTTTTAGGACAGTTGTCTAGTTTTGGATGTAAAATCTGGCAGGAATGGCGATCTTTCCAGCTTCAGGCCAAGTGATGTATGTTCCCTGTCCTCTCAATTTATGACTAATTTCTTTGTTGTTCATTAGCTCCTGGTGTACTAGCAGGCTGCATAAATTTGGGTTGTTCCCCAAATCCCTTGAGCTGTGGTCTTCAGTCTTCTTCTTGACCACCTCCATGCCTTCTGCAGGCTGGTGTTCCTCCAGCTGTGCTCGGAATGCTTGGATAAACTTACTTTATATGGAGCCTGCATTAGCATCTGGGACAGTCTCAGTTATGTGGGACAGTCCCAGTCACCCCCAATAAAACTCAGGTAGTCGGGGCAGTAAAAAGTCTGTTTGTTTAATATGAGTGATCTGTGTGAAATGACTCCCTCATCTTGGCACAAACCATCCACTGGGTGTTCCTCTTTTACAGGTAGCGTCGAGAATACTCCCCAGCCTTAATAAGGATTGATTGTTTACTCCTCACCGTCGTCCCGGTTTGGCATTAATCGGAAAAAAGCTTTGACCGTCACCTTGGGGAGGTGAAGAGGTGAATGAACGTCCCTTTTAAGGTACAGTAGAAGCATTAATGAGGTGTTTTGGGTATGGAGGTGGTACTGGTGTGGCCTTTGGAGGTTCCAGGGTGTAGAGCTTCCTCGTGGATTCACATCCGTCAGCCTTACAGGGTGAAAGCTGCGCTCCATCATTCCTTCGTCTGACCTTAGTGGTCTTCTTAAACTGGGGGGGTGTTGTTTTTTTTTGATGCAAACTTGAACGAGTCCAGCTTTTTTTTGTTTATTTACTTGAAAGAATCTTTCAGTTTTGAAACTTGCAGATTTTGTTGTGAGACGTGTAGAGTTTGGGCATCAATATTTGCGCTGTTTTGAGGGCTTTCCTTCAGGTTTTTTTTCTTCTTGTCTGCACAAACCAGCATTAAACTGAAATACACTGACCTGTGCTCTTCCCTTGGCACAGATGAGCATGGAATTCTGGCATGAATGATTTATTAAGGAGGGGGAAAGAAAAAGCCCAGAGTCTTTTTGAGGAAAGGAAGGTCATGGAGTAAGAAGGAGGGTTATGGAGTAAGAAGGAAGGTTATGGAGTAAGAAGGAAGGTTATGGAGTAAGAAGGAGCATTACTCAGGGCATTGGTGAATTAAACCCCAACATCCATCAGGGAGTTTGTGGGAAGTTTTTCTGGTCAAAGTTCTTCCCGTGGTCTGACTTGAGGAAAAGATTGAGGAATGCTTTTAAAAATCAAAAATAAATACCTTACTGTCAGATTTCTCGTTGGGTATTCCAGAGGACTCCTTCCAACCCAAACGGATTCGGTGCTAGGATGGTGCTGCTGGAGTAGCAAACGGAGATGTGCGTGTGAGACCTGGTGATTTGTATAATCAGGGTCTTTTCTTAAAAGCATTTCTTGTTGCTGTGGCTTCCACAGATTCACCCTGTCTGGAGAAGAAGTTTGTATTTGTGGTTTGATATTTCCTTAATGCCTGTACACAGGGTCCTGCCAACACTGCCCTGCTTCACAAACTCAACCAATTTATGGTTTCATATAAAAATTCTTTGAACTCTTTGCAAACCTGGTGTGGTACCTCTGTGCCAAACTGAAACCAATCCTGACTTTTAAGGATGACTAAATCCTTCCCTTTGAATTTGTGTGATACTTAGGGAAGAGTTTCAGTTCTGTTTGTGGGTGTTTCTCTCTGGACTTCACTGAATTTCGTGTTGTGTTTTGCTGCATGTGTTTTTAAGTCTTTTTTTTTTTGCTCTCTTTTTGATTTGGGGAAAACTCCTGTTGAAGAAAAGAGCTGAATTAATCCCAGTAACTGGGGCTGTCCTGTGCAGAGCCAGGAGCTGGACTTGGATGATCCTTGTGGATCCCTTCCAACTCAGGATATTCCGTGATTTTGTGATTCTGATTCACTGAGAAGTGGCCAACTGTCCTAGAAGAAGAACTTTGTGTTTGGTGCTTTCTTTCTCCATAGCTGGTCCCAGGAAAGGATTAAGTTCAACAAGACTAAAGTCAGAGATGCTCAACGTGAACATTAATAGCCTAAACTCCATTTATTACTCAGTTTTTGCCGGTATAAGAAAAGCCTTTTTAGAGCAGCAAGAGCCTGGACGTGCCTGTCAAGGCTTCTCAGCTCCTTGAGGTTGGAAGGTGGAAATTCAGCGGCCAGCTGGAATCCTCAGTCCCCTGGGAATGGCAGGATGTGCCTGAACCCATGTGAAGAGGAGCAGCCGTGGGCTGATCACCGTGGCCAGTGCTGTGACTGGGCAGGTTAAATGGTCCCCGCAACATTGCTGTGGGTGGGTGGTTTGTCTTGCAGGATGAAGCCAGACGTGGCTTTGTCTCTGTTGGCTGAAGTGAAATAGTCCCACAGCACTTCCCTTCTGCAGCAAAATCCTTCTGGAATAAGGCAGCAAGGTCCACAGCTGAGGTCCTGGGGCTTGTTCAGCTGTCTCAGGTGGATTGGGCTGCTGGGTGAGACTGAGAGGTGAATTCAGAAGATTCCAGGGTGTTTGTGGTACCAGGAGCCTCTTGACTCCCGTGGGCCACTGGAAAGGCATTTGGGGCTGAGTGTTTTCTCCCTCTAAAACAGGGGTTATGAAATAGCCAGTGTGAGCTGGAAGGGCTTGAGCACCCTTTTATGCTTGTGTTTCATTATCCATCACTTCCTGATTGGTGTCACAGGGCCAGAGCATTCAGATTGGGATTATGTGGGAGAAAACCAGTGCATGGAGTCTATACAAAGCTGTCCACTCAGATGGATCGCTGGATTTCTGGGCTTTGTTTGCACGGGTCACATTCACTTGTCACAAGTTGCTGTCCTCTTTTTTGTCAGCCATTTCAGCAGTGTCACACATTTATTCCAGCTCAGACGTGGCACAGGCTGTGTAGCAGTAGTACTGCTACTTGTGGTAGTGCTGGGAGACCAGGGAGCTTGTGTTTGCAGAGGAGACTTCAAAGTTTAGCTCTAAAACCTCCAGTGTATCCTAGAAGACTCCGCTTGTGTAATTGGAAACCTTGGGATGCCGAACACCGTGGTGCTCCCAGGTCTGGTGGCACCTCTGAGTAGAGGTCACAGTGGTCTCAAATCAAAACTGGCTGAATTGAAAACACTGGAGGAGGGGATGGAGGGTGGGAGGTAGGAACAGACCCACTACCAAACACCTGCCATTCTGTCCCAGAGAGTGAGTGGGAATCACAGAATGTTTGGCTTGGAAGGGACCTTTAAAGGTC